CCATGAGCTGGCCAAGCTTGTCTGGGAATCCTCAGTAGTCCAGTTCTATCAGGTTATGGAGATGTTTGCTTCCTTTGAAAAGGAAGATCTGCAGGAGAGGGATGTCACTGGAATTCATTGGAAATATCATTGTTTATGTCACTGGAATTCCTTGTGAACATCAGTGTTTATACACACATGGTATTTCCCAGAGATCTCCAAGAGAGCAGGAGGCAGAAGGTGGGCTATGAACAATGTGTGGGGTGTTACCTGCCTGCACTCCCCAGGCAGTTTGAAGGCCAAAGCCCTGTAGGAGGGAGCAGGGACGCTGGTGGGGCTGCAGCATCCCTTGTAAGGTGAGGTATTTTCCAGTATGCAGTGAACCATGGGTGCAATGATAACAGGCCTGTTCCTGCCTTCAGCCCAGCTGCTGAGAGAGGTGCGTGGCACTCACCCTGCTCATCCTTAATGGCATCCACGAGGAATCGGCATTCCTCCTGGATGCGCTCCTCCACGCTCCTCTTCCCCAAGCCAAAGTTTCGGAGGGTGGTCAAGGTGAACCTCCTCTGTGCCTTCCACAAGTGCCCACTGGAACTGATCAGTCCTGGCAGAAACAGCCCCCTGTGAGCCAAGGCCGATCCCCCAGGGAGTGGAAAAGCTCCAGGGCTCTGCCTTCTCCCCAGCTGTCTCAGACCTCTGCAGGGCCAACACCTGGACCTTCCAGCTGAGGTGCATGTCCTGAAGGATCACTCACCTATCTTGCCGAACATATCCTTGTCAATAGGCATTTCTGGTCGCTCAAGGAAGTCTTCCCCTTGGTTTACAAGCACTTCCTTAACCAGCCGCATCCCATTTACTACCACAGCTTTCATGCTGCCCATTGAAGTGCCAACGATGTCACCATATTTTTCAGTAAGCTGGGTGAGGAAATAAATAAAGTGGATTTCATTTGAAGTGAATATGTCTGTTGGGACAGTGACAGCCCTGTCGTAGGGCACAGGTAAAATTAAGGGAAGCTGAGAGTGGGAGAGGAAACAGAATTTGTGCACAAATCTCTGCCTGACTGCAGAGTGTTTTTTCTTTTCTGAATCATTGATCAGACTTGGTGTTATTTGGCCATAAAGGAAGTTAACCTCTCAAGGTTTGATTTTTCAGATCTACCTTTATCCATGTTTTGTTCTGTCCCTTCCCAGACACCCTCCCAGCCCCGAACTCATTCGTACAAAGCTCTGACAGCTGCGACAGCAACTCTGGGATCATGTTGTGCCCTTTGCCCCAGGGATAACTGCACAATTGTGCCCCACCTTGTAAACAGGAAAATTGCACTTGTGATGACAAACCTCCTTCCTGGCCCATGACATCTAGTTTAACCCTTTCCCTGGAGCTGCAAATCCCTCTGTTCCTTCTGCCACAGTGCCCACCACCCTTGTACCTTCTCCACTCCACTTATGGGATCTTTGAAGTCCATCAAGTAAAGGTGCCCTACAAAGGGAAGGCGTAAAGGGGTGGGAGGGAAGTTCTTTGGGTTTCTGTTCTTCATGTAATCGGTGACAAATAGGAAGACAACGAGGAAGATGAGGACTGTAGGGAAGGAGATGCTGTCCCAGAGAAAGTGCAGCATGGCTGGATGGGAAGGCAGTGCACGGATGTGTCCAACAGTGTGTCAGGACAGGTTGAGCTCCAAGGGCACCACTGAATCAATCCCCAGGGACACGGGCAGAGGGGTGATGTGCTGGCTCTGTGGGCACAAACAGAAGAGAGCACGGAGCAGCTTTTACTGCCCTGGTCTAGAGGCGGCGTTCAGACTCCTGCTTTCCCAGCTCTCAGCAGGGATTACACCCCTTCTTGATTAAACGCGAGCATTTCCTCTGCTGCGACTGAAAACCACAAACCACCACAAACCAAAACACCCCCAGCTGCCCCTTTCCCCTCCCGCCTCCCAACGCTGCTTCCCTAAAGCTCGGTGATCCCTGCCTTGCCTAAAGGACAGAAATGAGCTTTGCGGGATCAAGATTAAAACCTTCCGGCAGCTTCGCTGCGCTGTTCCCAAAGCCGCTGGCTCAGCCCCAGCCCTGCTCTCTCATGCCCGCGGTGCCCTCACTGTGCCGTGTCCCGGTGTCAGCTCCACGGTGCCGGGCAGGCTCCAGCCG